TCCTTCGTGGGAGAAGGAGAATGCATCCACATCGAAAGCATGAACATCTGAAACTCTCTGAAAGGAGACCAAACAGAGAAGGGTAGTAAACTTTGCAGTGAGCTGACGACCCGAGCATTCAACTCCTGCAGGTTGATCACCAGACGAAATGCCCCAGATTTCTTCCTGACTAGGAATATGTTGCTGAAAAAGCCTCCGGTATCCACTGCCGGTTGAATGGCTCCTTTCGAGCTAAGTTCCTGTAGCTCCAGATCTATCAGTTGGGTGTAGTAGAATAGCAGTGGATGGAGTTGGTGTGATTGAAGGGAACTTCCTCAAATTCTATTCAGCATCCACGAACCGTCTGTTGGATCCAAGCGTCCGTGGAAAGGTCTGCCCAGTTCTGGAAAAAAAAAGAAACATGACCTGCAATCTGAAAAGAGGGGTAGAAGGAAAAGGACTTACAGGAGGTGAACTTGCTTAGGCACGTTCTCTGCCACCTCTTTCACGATTCGAGCCCCTGGAATAGTTGAACCTTTGCGGATTCCCTGTTTGCGGGAAGATGGGTTGAGGTTGCCTGATGGCCAGAAGCGGCTGGTGGCACAGCCCCATTGCTGACCAGCCCTGTGAAAAACACTCCTGGAAGCATTTCACCTAAAGACCTTCCACATGGAGTGTTGAGTTTTATTCAAGGATGTGAATATGTTCACGTGTTTATTGAGTTCCTTGAAAAAGACCTCTCTGAAAAGCCTACCTCACACTGCATCACACTGTAGAACCTCACACTGCATCCTCTGAAACAGGTTCCTTCACTTGTCACTCGTCCAATACAGACAGCTTGTGAGGGAGGTCATGTTCCTCATCCGAGGAGACTACAGGCACAGGTTTCTATACCAACTGTGCTGGCACCTTACCCCGTCTTAGATTTTTTAGCCTTGCAGGTTCTGCCTTTCGAGTGGTGCTTAGGTGGGTGAGAGCGGTACCTGGAAGAGTCTGAGTCCTCAGAGTCTGCAACATAGTGAGCCTGTTTCGGGGCAGACTGAGTGAGGCCATGTTCCGCTGAGCATGCTTTGGAGAACGCTTTTGTGACAGACCCGCTGGCACTCTGACCAAGTACCTCCACCAATCGATGCTCCTAGTGCTTGCTGAGGACTCGAAGCACTCCAACCGACACCATCATCACTGCAGACTTGTCCTATCCCCCAAGCATGAGCCAAGGCTTCAAGAAAGGGTCAAGCAGGTCTGTTTAATGAGCACACAAAAGCAACAGCACTCATGCAGCAAAACAACTCCTCCTCAGAGGAAAACCAAATGACAGTTAAGGTCAGACAGAGTTTTAAAATATGACAGTTATTAAGGGTTTAAGGGGGGGGGGGGATAAAACAGTCATAGTCCATAAAACAGGGGTTTTCTTCACACTCTGCATCCAAAGTGCATAGCATAGCAAATCTGCAGATCCTTTGTCAGAGCATTTAAAGGGCCAGAACCAGTCTAATAAAATCCACTATGCCCAAATAACGTATTTAAAGGGCAAAATCTCCCAGGGACCATAGTCATACGGCAAGAGGCTGGTAATTAGTCCTCTCCAGGCACAAGCGGCGAAGGGCACTTCGTCACAGCCTTCTCCATGAAGGCAGCCACTGCCGCGAGAATCATCACCTGTATGTCTACTGGCATCTGGGAGTCTTCCATGGTAACTTATTGTAGGCGAGTGGGACACCGAACACCTTGGCACAAACCAGAAATTGGTACGTAGGGTGGTAGAGGCTTGGGGACCAGGAGGGGAGATAAGAAGATAGGTGAGGGGACCTCTATCAGTAATAGTAGGCCAGGGGCCTGTAAACGGGCTAACCCAGGAAAACAGAACCTGCATCAACAGGTTCAGCTCAGCAGCATGTAAAGGGGGCTCACCCCAGGCTCACCCCAGGCCAGAATAAGGGATAATACCCAACTGGAAAACCAAGCCCACAGTGCAGAGCACCAACCTTAATCCTGGTCCCAACTGAGTCCCAAGAGGCAGAAAATATATATGTCTTATATATGTTACTGACTTTTGATTGGTTCTCAGTCTTTTTTATGATTTTCTTTACTGCTGTGGAGTGAGTAAAGATAGATTATGCAAATATTAAGCCTCCACCAAACTTATTGGAAAATAAATATGACGCTACCACTCTGGATATTTTGATTAAAAAAATTGGGGATTTACACAGGAAAACTTTTTAACTATAGCAATAAAAGTCGTCAAGTGAAAAGAATAATTAATAAACATTTGAGAGACAAATTATTAGTCACAAAAAAACAGGTGCCAACCATATAAGCACTCCCTAAAGTGCTTAACCCCTTAAGGACCAAACTTCTGGAATAAAAGGAAATCATGACATGTCACACATGTCATGTGTCCTTAAGGGGTTAAATACAAAGATTCATATATAATACAGAATGCACACTATAACAACCACAGTTATCAAGTACAAAACTCAAATAACAATAAATAACAAAAAAAAGTAACAAAATGAGGCAAATAGTAAGGGTAATTCAAGAATAATTTACCCAAATCTTTCAAGCCTCAAGGCAGAAACACAAGTCACCAACTCCCCCAGCGTTTCGGCACCAACTGGTTCCATATATCAATGGTACCTGTAGCCATGTTCTCATGTGTCTGCTTTTAAAGCCCTCATAGAGCTGATGGCCATCAGCATGAAATTATAACCATCCCCGGAAGTGACATTACCTACTCTGGTGTTAAATGAAACATTGATATTGAAATGAAATAAATTTTTCGGTCAGTTCACTTAAAGGGATTTGTCCACTTACAGGATTTTCAGGGCGATCAGGACCAGCAGATGGAAAACGCTGAATCTAGAAAGTGTAGGCCCAAGAGCAAATTTCTTCCACCATTGACTAACGCTAGTATTGAAACCTTTGTGAAGTCTTGTCAGATGGATATAGATAAGATGCATTGGGGTAATAAAAGCAAATCCAATCTGAGTAGGAGAGAACTACTGACCCTCCATGAATTAAAGGATCACATATCCATCTCCATTCGACCTGCTGACAAGGGAGGCGCCTTGGTGGTAATAGATACTAATAAATATATAACAGAGATGGACCGATAATTGTCCAATATGCATCATTACAGGATCCTTGATGGAGATCCAACAGGTAAGCTTCAGGATGTCATTGGTAGAATTACTAAAATGGCATTGGATGATGGGTTAATTGAGAAGACAGATTTTAATTTCCTTAATGTAGATAATCCAAAGATTCCTTTAATTTATTTGCTGTCTAAAATCCACAAGGACCTGTTGAATCCACCGGGGTGCCCTATTGTGTCTGGGTGTGGATCAGAACTACAACCTTTATCCAAATTTATGGACATACATTTACAAACTTTAGAATGTGATATGCGTTCTTTTGAGCAGGATACCACTGATTTTAACTGTAAGTTGGAAGCGATAGGAGACATTCTCGATGGTTCCCTGTTGTGTACTATGGATATTAATAGCTTGTACACTTCTATACCGCATGAGGAAGGCATTGAGGCAGTATTTGGGGCCATGCAAGGAATGGATATGAGTGAGGCATATAGGAGTTTCCTTTAGATTTATTATCACTAGTACTACATAAAAATTATTTACATTTTTTTCTTTTGGACAGGAAATGTGGAAGATTTGATGCTATACAAGGAGTAACTTGATTGTCGTCTGGATTCTATTTCTTTTACTTTGGAATATGATTATCAGGAGATGCATTTCCTTGACATCGCCATTCAGGTAAGGCAGGGTCGCCTATCATTTGACTTGTATTAAAAACCCACGGATCGGGTCTCGTATTTACATGCAGATTCCTTTCACCCTGCATATTTCATCTGACACCTGCCTTATGGGCAGTTTGTCAGGGCACGCATGATAGTGTCTGAGGAAGCTCGATATGACACAAGAGCAGAGCAATTGGTAGAGGCATTCTCCTCTAGAGGATATGCGACTGAAGCGGTAACTGAATGTAAGGATAGAGTGAAGTCGCTCTTGAGGAAAACACTTTTACAAAAAAGGATAAGGGATGATAATAAGGGCATCCCATGTGTATTGACTTATTCTACACATTTTAGTGAGGTTAAGCATATTATAAACAGAAATTGGAAAATTTTGCAATCTGACCCTAGCTTTTGTCTTGGTTTTAACGAGAAACCTTTATTTTCATTCAAGCGTCATAAGAACCTCAGGGCTCAATTGAGGAAGAATATTGATCTACAAGAGAAGACTGATACAGCAGAAACCTGGCTTTCGGCGATACCTGGTATGTATCGTTGTGGACATTGCACTATAGATGTTTAGTGCATCCAGTATCACACATTTCCCTGTACTATAATGTATCTTTTAGCCCTTTAGAGTTAGACTGTGGCTTTTTCTGTCTGTGTATATATATATATATATGTATATATATATATATATACACATTTTTTCTGATTATGTTTTATATCAGTGGGATATATCTGGGGGCACTAAGGGCATTATGCATGTATTTAAGTTTAACTATTGTGTATGGGCATAGCCATCAAGTAGGATGGCGTGGTATATTTCTTGCCGGTGCGATAGTGTACTATTTGTAATGCACGCACGGCCTATATGGGAGCGCGATGCTCACGCACGGCTCGAGTGCCTGACTAGTATAAAGCGAGTGCGCAGCTGATAATATACTGCACACGCGTGGCTGTTACAGTGCCAGTGATTAAGATGGCAGTATGATACTACACGCCATATAATGCGCATGCACGGTGATAATACTCACGGACATATGAATTAGCCTTCGTTAAATGTTTATTATAATGTATTTAGTATTGTTATGATATTTAGTTATGTATATATGTCATGCATGGTGTGTTTTGCCTAGTATATCTGGTGTTTTGTACCAACACCTGAAGTGATGATGTCACTTCTGGGGATGGTTATAATTTCATGCTGATGGCCATCAGCTGTTTGAGGGCTTTAAAAGCAGACACATGAGAACATGGATACAGGTACCCTTGATAAAGGCAACCAGTTGGTGCTGAAACGTTGGGGGAGTTGGTGACTTGTGTTTCTGCCTTGAGGCTTGAAAGATTTGGGTAAATTATTCTTGATTACTATTTGCCTCATTTTGTTACTTTGTTTATTTTTTGTAATTTATTGTTATTTGCCTACTTATTAAAGTTTTGTACTTGATAACTGTGGTTGTTATAGTGTGCATTCTGTATTATATATTAAGGATAATTTTACCATCTAAACCTAATATTGTTTTTAGAGTGGCTCCCAACCTAAGATTCGTTTTAACACAAAACCATTTTTTAGTCAAACAAGGTTTTTTTTTTTAAATGTAGAGTGTGCTCTGCCTACAGAAACACATGTTTTTTTAACACTGTGGAGTATTGTGGAGTGTGTATTTTCACCTTCTCATAAAGTATTAGAATGAGCATCAATGGGAAGCTGTGATTGGCTGCTTCAAATCTATCACTGTGCCATTTCAGGGATGAATTGGTATGGCTAGAAGGAAGTGTATAATCTTTGCCTTAACCACACCTCCAGTATGTGCAAGGCTATGGAAACCAATCTCATTCAGTGCTAAATTGCTTGAAAATGGTTTAATAATGAATGGAGGGACTGTAGCGGATGGCATTGGGCTGTCCACAAAACCATGTGTTTCAATATGCTTTCGTTTGATTTTTGCCGTATGTATATTGTATGCAGCATTCGACTGATTGTTCGGTAAAATCACTCCATTTATTATACGAGTGAAACGACCGAACAATCAGACCACCCCAAAAATAAGTGTGCCTCCAATTACCGTTCGCAACAATGTTGCAAACCTGTAATTGGCAATCAGTGCAGTGTGTGCTTTGTCCTCTGGGTGGCCGCCGTTCGGGAGACGAACACGTGGCGGCGGCCATCTTAGACTCCCGAACAGCGGTGTTTTGCCATCGAGTGTCTGTAACTAAAATTGGACACTTGACTAGGCACACACCGCTGAGACCTCCAGCCTTCCATGAATTCGTGCCGAAACTACCGAACGAGCCGCCGTTCGGTAGAAAGAATAATGCAAACAGGGGGATTCACATGAACACCGGTATAGCCATGGATGGCAGACATTTCATGACTTTTATTCCGCGAACGGAGACCGACCGCAAGGCCAAAACTTATGGAACTATTTTCGGCTACTGTTGCCTGTGCGGTCGGTCCTAACTTTAAACATCCATAACTCCTGAACCCCTGGTCCGATCCGGGTGATTTTTGAGTATGTTACTCACCCAGATCAGGGCTACCATGTAAAATGTGGAGGTGTACCCCTAGGTTTAGGGGTACATCCAGAAAACGAGGAGAACTGTGTCCTGCATAATGGGATTATGAGTCATACTAAGGGGAGGCGATGTGGGGGTGGCAACTCATGTATGATTGGTGTACTGTATAATTATTGTCGGTGTCTCCCTTGCATGGGAGAAATGCTTAAAAGCGGACTCTGTGATTAAAAGTTGAGTTCTGCTCCTGATGCTGTGTGTCGTCCAGTCATTGGGATCTGTATTGGGATATTCGTGGATTACCTTGCTTGCTGTGACTATTGTTACATGGGATTTTATTACTTGTTCCTGAGCCTCACTGGGATCTTTAGTGGAGATAACCTGTGAAATACCAGCTCTCTACAGGGACAGTGACAGGGTACTTAACCCCTTTAGGACAGTGGACTTACTAGGTACATCCGACAAAAATGGTCCTTAAGGACCGTCCACGGCCAATATATTACTTACCTGACCGCCGCCGTTTGGTGTTGCTCCCAGTCTGAGGAGACTGCCTAACAGCCCAGACAGTCCCCTTCAGCAAATTAGGCTACCATGTTTCATGTGATCGCTCTGAAAAAGTGGTCACATGGCCGCAATAGGCGTCCATAGTGCTGCCTGCAGGGGGTCTCCCTGCATCTGTAAAAAAAAAAAAAAAAAAAGTTATTAAATCAAAAAATAATAATATATGTATATATTTGAGATATATAAAAATATATTATATCTATATATAATATATATATATCTTATATATAACATCATACTAAATTTATTTTTTATTAATATGTACATATATTAATATAAAAATACACAGAGTAAAATTACACATGTGTAAATATATATATAATATAATATATCTAATAACTATATATATTGTGTATATATATATATTATAAAAAATTACTAATTAATTTAAAAAAGAATTTAAAAAAATGTAAAAATGATTTTACAAAATTTAAAAAAATGATATATATATATGGAATTTTATTCTAACTGTATTTTAATATATATATATATATATATATATATATATATATATCAAAATACACTTAGAATGAAATTATATATATATCTATGTGTATACATAAATATATAAAAACAATACAATATATATATATATCCATATACATAATTACATAAATAATTTCATAAATATACACGTGGACTTCAAATATATAATTATGTATATATATTTAAATTCTATATGCATATTTATGTAATATTTTTACATAATTAAGTAATTTTATTGATTGCAATTTGAGGGACCTGCCTGCCAACCCAGGCCGAAAGTCTAGAGAATTTAATTTGCTAGCACTATATTTAACCCTGTAACTTTCCATGACACCCTAAAACCTTTGCATGGGGGGTACTGTTTACTCGGGAGACTTCGCTGAACACAAAAATTAGTGTTTCAAAACAGTAAAATATATCACAGCAATGAGATATCAGTGAAAGTGAAGTTTTTTGCATTTTTCACACACAAACGGCACTTTTACTGATGATATTGTTATGATACATTTTACTGTTTTGAAACACTAATATTTGTGTTCAGCTAAGTCTCCAGAGTATAACAGTACCCCCGTGTACAGGTTTTATAGTGTTTTTGAAAGTTACAGGTTCAAATATAAGGCTTGATTTTCTTTTTTTCACATTGAAATTTGCCAGATTGGTTATGTTGCCTTTTAGAGAGTATGGTAGCCCAGGAATGAGAATTACCCCCATGATTGCATACCATTCACAAAAGAAGACAACCCAGGGTATTGCGAATGGGGTATGTTCAGTCTTTTTTAGTAACCACTTAGTCACAAACACTGGCCAAAGTTAGTGTTCAAATTTTGCATTTTTAACACACAAACAAATATAAATGCTGACTTTGGCCAGTGTTTGTGACTAAGTGGCTACTAAAAAAGACTGAACATACCCCATATTGAATACCATGGGCTGTCTTAAAAAATATGTACGTGAGGTGTGATTCAGAGATTTATGACAGATAACAGTGTTACAATGTCACTGTTGATACATTTTAAAAAAATATATATTTGGAAACAGCAATGTCCTACTTGTATTATAGCCCTATAACTTGCAAAAAAAAGGCTAAGAACATGTTAACATTAGGTATTTCTAAACTCAGGACAAAATTTAGAAACTATTTAGCACAGGTGTTTTTTGGTGGTTGTAGATGCGTATATTTATGGGGGTCAAAGTTAGAAAAGTGTGTTTTTAAAAGAAATTTCAGCATATTTTATAAAATCTTTTTATAGTAAATTATATGTGTAACGAAATCCCTTATTTACAGACCATACGAACAAGCCTGTTCGGTTATTTGGAGGATTACAGCGGGATTTCGTGAAAATAGCCATAAAAGCGAATAAACTACCGAACCACCGACCTCCCACTGAGGTCGTGTGGCGCCTATTGACCACCCTGACTGTTGCGGTTAACCAGACTAATTGGGGAATAGCTGGTGGTCCGCGTTTGTTTACCGAACACGTGGCAATCACCATTTTGTATTGTCGAACACGCAGCGGTAAATGGCGAGGATTCCCTGGAACTGATTTCGGCTATTTATTTTGTCAAACACCGCTGCTACCTGCTACCTCCTCGTTCGTACGGTGGAAAAACATACGAATGAAGGGGATATTACTTCATTCGTGCGCTGAAAGTATGCGAAAGTGACCGACCTCAGATAGCTATAGTGTGGAACTGGCAGTCGGATACAAACACACGAACGGCCGGTGAAAGTCAAACTTCAGTCGACGATTCTGAGAACTGTGTTCGTGGGATCTGAGCGCTATTCGCTTAGAATATGCACTCAGATCCAAGCTATCTGGGGATATGTGGAACTTAAAGTTTATGTTGTGTAAAAAGAAAGTTATAGATTTTTATTCTGTTTTGCTGAAATAAGAAAAGCCATGTTTCTTTCTTCCTGGAGATAATTAAGGCTCTCTTTGCTACCTTAAGTTAATTATCTCCAGGAAGGAAAAGAGGGAGTGATTTATGTAAAAGGGGAGTGCTTATGCTATAGCCACTTTGATTGGCTACTGTGATACTTTTGTCCAAGTCTTCCATCTGGTCCCCTCGGGGAGTGTCCACCAGGTGGGAGACCTGCATAAATACCGGGCAGGTAGCCCACAGTAAATCAGATCGTTTTACCCCTTCATGAAGTCTCGAGTCATGTTTGGGGGATTGGGAGTTATAATCACTTTGTTTCAGCTGGATTTCGGGAGAAGCTGCAAGGATCATCGCTGCACGAATAGAAGGATCCTTTACAATATGATATGATGAAAATAATGGTATCTTTAGAAAGACCATTTAATTGGTGAGAAAAACTTCAAGTAATATGTGTGGGTACAGTAAATGAGTAAGAGGAAAATAACAGCTAAACACAAACACAGCAGAAATGTAAAAACAGCCCTGGTCCTTAACGGTAAGAAAATTGAAAATCGGTCTGGTCACTACGGGGTTAATGCACTTTAACCAATTTTTTAAAATTAAATAGCGTCTATAGTGTTCCTTTAGTAAGTTACACAACTCTCTTCTAAACCTTCACACCCTATGTTGAACTGTTATTAGTACCTAAATGTGTTCTGTTAACAGGGGCGGATTGACCGAGGGCCCGAGGCTCTGGGGGGCCTGTCCGGTGCAGTGCAGTAATCTCCCCAGCCAGCCTGCACTCAGTAACTGCTAAAAATATTCTCCCTGGGTGCAGGGCACACTGAGGGACAGCTATAGGGCCCTCCCAAAGACCCCACTAGGCTGCCCCTCAGTGTGCCTGTCTCCAAACACAGCCTCACTGAGCTGCCTGTAACACTGCTCAGGGCAGCTCCGTGCGGCTTGTTCTGCAGGAAGTGACATCACCAGTCACAGTGCAGAGTGAGCTGTGCGGAGCTGCCCTGATTAGAGTTACAGGCAGCATGTCAAGATCCTGT